GTCGGGCCGGTTGGCGCTCGCCTGGGAACCGGATTGATGGCGGCTGTGCCGATTTCCCTCCCAGTGGCAGTGCAGCCCCTTCCCCGGCGCCTCTGGGCCCTGGGTGCCGGGGCTGGGTGAGCCCGTCCGCTGCTCCGAGGGGGCAGCTGGTGCCACGCGGGGGGCCCTTCACTTGCTGCCAGCACAAGCATCAAACAGGCTGAGAGAGAGGAAACTCAGTCCTTACCCAGAGCAAACAACTCTCCCAGCCCCTGGGACCCCCCCCAAGGTTGGCACCCCGGTTTTAGCCTGGTCAGAGCTTGCCAGTGCGACCAGTCCCTAACGCAGGCACGACCAGGGTGGCCCTAAACGGGTGCTTTGCTTTGCACCGTCGGTGCCCTCATTCCCCCAAAGCAGCACTTCGCTTCCTGCCTTGTTCTCCCCAGCTGCCACCCAACGAGTGCTTTACACCGCTCCCCAGGATCCCACGGCTGTGTGGGTCAAGCTCTCTTATCGCTCTCTACAACTACCCGAAAGGAGGTTGTAGCGAGGTGGGGGTCGGTCTCTTCTCCCAAGTAACAAGCCATAGGACGAGAGGAAACGGCCTCAAGCTGCGCCAGGGGAGGTTTACGTTGGATATTAGGAAAAACTTCTTCACCGAAAGGGTGGTCAGGCACTGGAACAGGCTGCCCAGGACAGTGGTTGGGTGCCTATCCCCTGAAGTATTTAAAAGACGGGTAGATGTGGTACTTGAGGACATGGTTTAGTGGTGGACTTGGCAGTGATAGGTTAATGGTTGGACTCGATGATCTTAAAGGTCTTTTCCAACCTTAACGATTCTGTGATTCTATGATTCTCTCTGCCTCCCCGGGTAGATGGTACTTGAGGACATGGTTTAGTGGTGGACTTGGCAGTGATAGGTTAATGGTTGGACTCGATGATCTTAAAGGTCTTTTCCAACCTTAACGATTCTGTGATTCTATGATTCTCTCTGCCTCCCTGAGCCTGCAGAAGCCACCAACAGCCAGTGACAAAACCAGGCAGCGCCAGAAGGGGAGCAAGGGGACAATTATGTTTTCACCACCAGACAATTATGTTTTCACCACCAGGGATGATGCTGGCTCCCCACACATCCCAGAAAAACTGGTCCAAGTGGTTGGAGAAAGGCAAAGCTCCCTTGAGGGCTGATGACCAGCCTGGGGCAGGTCGGAGCAGGGATAAAGCTTAGGGAAGGCAAAGAAAAAGGGTTGAAGGGGCTGGCGTGGCTCTGAGCTGCCTGGCCAGCCGCAAAACCACCCAGTGACAGTTCAGCCATGCTGTGGGTGTCTGAGGAGTCACGGATAAGAAAGGCCTTGGGAGAAAGAGGATTGGGGGCTTTCAGGGCAGAGGAATTTGTCCTGATTCCTAACAAAATTAGGGTACAAACTGCTGGTGGCTGCAGCTGCCAACAACGCTGGGCATGGGGCCTTGCTGGAAAGTGAAACAGCAAGAGAGGAAGGCCAAAATGCTGCCGGGCTGAAACATTGGGTGGCAAGGGACCCAAAACACTGCCCCGGGCTGGGACTCCGTTACAGCACAGAGACCCACCAGCCACCGGGAAAGCGGCCCCTTAGGGCAATAACCTTGGCCCTCCTGGGCACAGCACCAAGGAGAAGCACTGCAATGGTGGGGGGCAACTGGGGGGGGCTGTAAGGCAGGGGCCTTAGCCAGGCACCTGGCGCCTGGGGTGCCGCTGGGGCCAGAGGTCCCCAGGACCAGCGTTATGTGTTTACGCACACCGACCACCGTAACAGGGTCCGACCCTAGGGTCCCACTGAGAATGCCAAGTCCGAGTGAAGGTTTCCCATTACTTCTTTGGTTACAGCTCGAGCTGGGTGCCTCTGGAGAGGGACCCCTACCCCAGTTCACGTACATATATATATTATACCCGTACCACCCGTCACCGATCCCCAAGTCTAGTCATTTAATTCTGGTCGGTGGTCTCTTGATTTCTTACTGGTTTTCACTGTTGCTGGGCTGGCCTTCTGAAGCGACTTCATTCTCCTGGAATTGTCTCCTTGGTCCTTATCTTCTTCGTTCCTCTCGTATCTGCTGAATTCAGTGAGTTCTTTGTTAGCAGCATTAGTTTTATCAGAACTTTACGTTCAGTCAGCTCTTGCGGCCTAAAGCTTCAAGTACTTTAGCTGCTAATGCTAGGCCGCTAACGCTAAACGAGACTATTCAGAGAGGATAAAGTGAATCACATTTCTTCTGTCACACCGGCATTGGGCTGCACAGGACCCCGCGCCTCCGCCTGCCCCACGGCCCCTGCCCGCCTGCTCGCTCTCCCTCCGTGCCTCCGCAGGCAAGCAGGACCCAGGGGGGCGGACGGCCCATGGCCACGGCCGTGCCCAGCACTGGCGGCAGCCACAGACGCAGCGTGACCAAAGGTCGCCTGCACCGCCCCGGCAGCGCGGCAGTGCCGCGGATCCGCCGCCATGCCCGCTGTGCCCTCCCGCCGTGCAGAGTCGGTTCCTCCTTTGCCTAACGCCGGGGCAGGAAGTGTGGGGTGAGAGCTGGGGAGCGCGAGCGGCGAGCTGTGCCCTGCTGGGGAGCGGGCTGCCGGCCGGCCCCGCGGGACGCACCGCCATGGCCCGGCGGGAGCAGGAACGGGAGCGGGAGCAGGGCTCGGCGGAGCAGAGGGTAGCTGGCATCGCCCGGATGTTCGCCCGCCGGGAAGCCACCCAGTCCCAAGCAGGGAGCCTAGCCCGCAGCTCCCATCTCTGGCCGGCCGCCATGGGGAGCAGGGAGCGCTTCCATCCGCTGCAGAAGATGGACACCAGCAGGAGCATCAGCCGGGGCAGCCAGGGCCCGGGGAGCTGGGGTAGGACTTCAGGCAGGCTGTCCATCAGCCCCGGCAGTACCCGGAGGAAGGAGCTGAAGGAAATCCTCCTGCAGAGCAATAGCCCTGGCAGTACCGCACGGTTTGCCGCTGCTCAGAAGACATCCAACAGTAGCCGCCTTCTTGCAGGGCCGCACCAAGAGCAGAAGCCCGAGCAGAGCCTTGAGGTGCTGTCCCTTGCCCTGGATCCCCTGGAGCACGAGTGGCTGCTGACGGTGGCCCAGGGCGACGCAGACAACATCGTCAGGCTGCTGGACCTGGATCCCAGCCTGCTGACCAGGAAAGACTTTGTGACGGGCTTCACCGCTCTCCACTGGCTTGCCATACATGGCCACCATGAGAACTTCATCCAGGTCATCTCCCACGCCCAGAAGAAGGGCTATCCCGTCGATGTGAACATCCCCACGTCCAGCGGTGGGCTCACCCCCTTGCACCTGGCCGCCCTGCAGGGACACGAGCTGCTCATCAAAGTGCTGGTGGGAGCTTACGGGGCGGACACCAGCCGCAGGGACCACAACGGGCGCAAGGCTTGGCAGTACCTGAAGGCAGACACCTCCAGGGAGCTAAAGGAGCTGGCGGGGGCCTTGGAGGAGGATTTGGTCCAGCTGCGCTCTCACAACACCAACAACAACTGTAAGTCATCCAGAGAGGCCAGGGCAGGGCGGGATTGCGTGGACTCCAGGGCTGAGGGGAAAGCCCAGCGCTCCTGGAGCCTGTCGACCCTCCGGGACTTTGTCAGACAGACTTTTGCTTTCTTCCAAGAGCGCTGAAGCTCCCCTGGCCCATTCACCTGCAAACCCGTGCTGAGTAGCAGCCGGAAGAGCCTGCAGGAAGCTGGGAACTTGGCAAGGGCCAGTGCTTGAAATCCCGACCCAGCGAGGATTACCCTGCACGGGGGCTCTGCGGCCACCCTGGGTCTTGCGTGGTCTTTTGGGGCTGTGCTGGTGTGAGCGTGTGTGGGGCAACCACGTCCATCGGGAGCACTGCCTGGGGACAGCCCTTCCAAAAAAACTGCCTGTCTCTGGAGGGGGTTTTGCCCCCTGCCCCTGCTGGTGGAGACTCCTTGCCACAGCCCAGCCAAGCCCCACGGCGGGGGCTCACGTGCCGGCCCTGCTGTGGGGAGCTGCTTCTCTGACACCCCGCGTGCCCATGGGGGGATGCGGACCCACCATGGGAGGTGGTGTCCCGTGCTGGGGGCCGGGGGTGGGTGTTTGGGCTGCCCGTCCCGGGCTGCCGGCAGACTTCGCGTGTGACTGTAGGTGGGTCCCGCAGCAACTCGGTGACTTGGTTCTCCCACCTGTAAAATGAGGCCATTGGCACTCTCCTGGCTCCCAGCAACGCTGTGAGGTTGGACTGGTCATGGTGCCTCGGGTGCCTGGATGGAGACACTGGCAGAATATAATTAAATATTTCACAACCATACTCTGAGATGCCAGAGGCCTGGGACTGGGCTGACGGTGGAGAAGCAGCTATGCCTTCACAAACAACGCCCCTCCAAACACTTTTTTATGTACGCTTCTCTGCCAGCAGGGAGAGTGGGTACAGACAAGCAGACCATGCCACCGAGCTGCAAACGCTTTCCAGCTCCCTGTGAGATCCCCGGATCTCTGCCACGTGCGCCTCCTCTGGGTTGCTGTTTGTTTATGACAGACAGAGCTGTTTCTCAGTAAAGTAAGAGCTGGAGTGCCTGGTTTGCCAGAGGCCGGGTCCAGAGAAGTCTTTCAAAGTGCAAGACAAGTGCCCCCAGCAGCCCTTCCCTGGGGACCCCTGTCCAGGGGAGCCTGAGACGCTCAGCCCCACTGGGGACAGGGGCCAGAGCAGAGGAGGCAGGAGGGATGCCCAGTGGAGTGGCATGCAGTGGCTCCCGTGGGGACCAGAGTCCAGGAGCAGCTCTGGAAAGATGATTCATTGCCCAAAACCATGGGAAAAGTATGAAGGCTGTGAGATTATCTTTGTTGCTACTGAGGTCATGCTCAAAAATGAAACGGAACACCCCTACAGCAGCATAACCCCACGTGTATGTACCGGTAACTGCATTAAAAGCACAAAGCCTCTGCTGGCCTGTTTGTGTTTTGTTCACCAAACGGAGCTCTGCCCAGCTGATTTCAACTTCCTTTTCACATTCTCGAAGGCCAGGACTGCTTCAAAATATCTTCAGAAAAACAACTGCCCCTTCCTCTTTTTCATCAGCACGAGACCATTTCCATCCCCTTAAATAGCAGTCCCATTTGAGAAGTGACACTCAGACAGCAACCGGGGAGTTTCTGTTCCCCATCGCGGACCGGCAGCCCTTGCGGAGACACCTCGCTTCGGAGGGGAGTCGCGATTCCTTTCCAGCTGCCTTTCCGTGGGTCTGCAGAGGTGACCGAGGGACTCGAGATGATCTCTGGCCTGGCTGCATGGGTGAATCTGCACCTTGATGCAGAAAGATACATGGGTTCCCTTGGGGGAACTTGAGCCTGTGGGTTTCACAGACCCTGAGCAAACCCTGTTTATACTCAGATTGTGCTCCGAAATGCTGCTCGGACACCGGAATAACCCAGTCTGCAGCGGACGATACATGGAAGAACAGTGTCCAGATGAGCGCATAGCGATCCAGTGACTGGATCGTGTCCAGTCCAGGTGACTGGCTGGACCCATAGATGTGTCTGTACATCTTTTTAATCATTGAGGTCAGTAGCGGAGACATATGAAACATACTGGGAATGGATTTAATGCCTGATCTACACCGTTTTTGTAATGCTTTAACTGTAATAGATTAAAGACTCTGGCAACATAGCTCCTTCCAGAACTTCTCTGGCCACATCCATGCCACGGGACAGCAGGCTGGCTTCTAACGAGGCTGGTCACACCAGCACAAACTCCTTGAAACGCGCTGATGTCAAAACACCTGCGATCTTTAGTTCTGGTAACCAAAGTGTGTTGATAAGACAGGTGGCTGTATGTCTGATGAAATATTTTTAGTCCTCCGTCACCCTTTCGCAGCAGCGTGCTGTTGGGGAGAGGGTGTGGGACTGCTCTTACATCCTCCTCTGAGTAAGGCACAGAGTAAACAGTGGAATTAGTGAGAATTTCCTTGAAGGAGCTGTTTCCTTGGCATTTGTACCTGCAGCTTAGTCACCAGGAAACCTGGATTTCCATGTTCCATTTGAAAGTAAAATTTAACTGGCAAATGCTACACTTAAATATGACAAAGTGATTTTTAGTACTTGCCTCCCCTTGACAGCTAACCAAAACCCCCTAAAGGCAGCTTTTTCCACCCATCTTTTGGTCGTGGGTTTGAAGCTGTATTCTGCTCTGAGGCAAATTAGGCAGGCACTCCAGAAGCAGCAAGACCAGAGCCCTGCTTCTCTGGGTGGTGTTACGACATGCTCATCAATGCCACCCCCTGCCCTGCCTGCCCTGCAAGGGTTCCTCTCCACAGAGCAAAAAAAGGATCTTCCTCAAACGGCAGTGCCCTTTCTGCTGCTGTACGCTGCGTTTGCCCCAACCACCACGCCGCTTCAGTGAACCCCCCGCTGTCCTGCGCCGGTCATTTTCATACCGACAGAGGGACAGGGGGTTTGGAAATACAGACACGTTTAAATAATATTCCTCAAGTATACAATCACCTCTAACTTTGCTTCTCACTCAGAAAACAAAAGTATATCCACCAAAATTAATGGACTAGAATATCCAAGTTATTTAGATTTTTTCTTTAAAGCTTCTGTTGATGTCTCGGTTACCGTGTGTTAGCCCAGTTCTGCAGAGATCCCTGATCCCCCCCCGCAGTTCTCGCAGGGAAAGATAGGGCAAAGAGAGCTGCCACGGGAAAAACAGAAATCAATCAAACCCAGAGGTGTTTGTACTGGTTAAGGTTCTGCAGAAGATTGATTTTAACCCCATTTTAATTTGTACCATATTTACTTTGTGCTATCCCTTAAGGTCCAATTGGAAAAGCAGATTCAGTCAAATGGAGAAAAATGTATTAATACAAGGGGTTATTTTCCAAAGCAGTTCCTTGGTAGAAGCTGCTTCCATCTAATAAAAATAGCACAGTAATGATAGTAATAGGGAGACTATCTAATAAATAGTAATAAATAGTTCAACCTATTGCTCAGGAAAGCTTTCCCACAAATGCCATGGAGGAAACTGTCTCTTTCCATTTCCTCAGTCCATAAAATTACTTTTTCCCTCCTCAGCCAGGTCCTCACAGACACAATTAAAGAGGAACTGTGCGAGCAGCTCTGCCTGCCAGCAGTGGTGACGGGGAGAGGCAAGGGGCGGTTCGCAGGGCCTCAAGGCTGATCTTTGATCCTCAGCAGTGCTGTTATTTCCTAAACACTTGCTTCAAAGAGAAGAGCACAGAAGAGATTTAAAAAACAGTGGGGCAAAAGCGTTTGCAGCACATGGGCCTCTGTTGAAACATCTCTGGCAATGCTGTTTGCTGCTTCGCTGTTGCAGTGACTTACTGCTTCCCCCGATAACGAAGTAGACTCCTACCAGACAGGAAAAGAAGGTAGAAGATACCTCTGAAGTGTCCCGAAGCTGGTAAAAATCCAGCCTTGCTCTCCTGTGCTCACAGAAACCTCCAGCACACCTTAGGAGGGAGACACTGTCACGAGCTTTGAGCAAGGCATGTGTTTGTTATGCATTTACACGTGCTTGGCATATGCTGCTGCCCAGCATTATTTGCTACGAATTGTAACGCAAAGGAGATAAATCTATTTACCTTCAACGTGAAAAGCAGCAACAGAGAAGGTGTGGCAGCCTGAAGCTTCCTCAGGAAGCTGCCACCCAGGAGTCGAGCCACTGCAGCAGGCTGAACCCAGAAAACAGCAGCAGAGCACTTCGCAGCCCTCAGCGTCAGGATGGGCTTTGCCGCAGCCGAGAACAGGCGCGCACCTTCGGTTACTTGCTGCTGACCAGAGCATCTCTCCCAGGTCGGCACTGCAGAAGGGAGCAGCAGCCACGCCGGGCTTACTGCTGACCCACAGCCGCCGCCTCCACATCCCTGCGGTAAATAGGTGGTGTTTCGCAGGCCCCAGCAGAGAATGCCGGTGTCGGGGAGCTGGAGCGCTGGCTACTCTGAGCAGTTTAATCCCTTCTTTCCCCTCTCCCCTTTTTTAAATAGCTAACTCTGAGCAACATCTTGTCTTACTACCCTTCTGCGGAGAATGTTTTAAATTAAGCTGCTCCTGTGGCTGGCATCAAGACCAACTTGATCAAGCCAACAGACAGCTCCAAACAAAACTCAGAAGGTTATGACACATTCTAGGGAACACGCAGGCATTATGTACTAGTCTATAGTATTGCATGTTGTAGGAGGTAAATCTATCCACTGCCCTTGCTGTATTCTTCCCTTTCCTCCTCCTTCCCTACCTCCCAAGTGAAACTTTCCTTCACCTGATTCTTCCGCTGCACCCACTCCCCAGCCAGGATCTTAACCCCAGGCTCCGAGGGCTGCCCTGCCCCACCTCCCACCCGGGAGCAGCGCCCAGCGCTGCAGGCGCAGGGGCCAGACACAAGCCGGGTACCGAGCTGCCGTCCTTGGCTGGCCGCAGGCGCGAGGCTCCCGCGGAGCCACCTGCAGCCTCGCCGGTACGCTGCTCAGGCGCGGGACAGGTCATCCTGGTATTCAAGTATTGATTACTCTCAGCTCCATGTTCTCACTCCTTGGGCAAGTATTTGTATAGTACTTCTGGGCATGTAACATTTCAGCATTTTGCCATCATTCGCACTGTTCAACACTTGCAGTTCAGCCATGCTCTGCCATTAATAAAAAAAAAGGTTATCTGAGCGACCAGCAGGCCTGCTTTACTACATGGTCTACCCTGGATGTTCAGAAGGGTCACGTGGGAGGTGATGGTGGAGACGAGGATCTGCAGCTGCGACAGAAGCCAGCCATAGGGAACACACCTGCACCCAATGTGTAAGCATAATGCAAGAGAGGGCGGTAACTGGAGGTGGACTTGGTTTAGCAAAAGGTTTTGTTAGCGCGCATCGCCCTCACCTACCGCAGCACACCTCGCACGGGAAGCGACCTTACCCAGAGGAGCATTTTCAGTGTGCTTTGCTTTCCAGCCCCATAAAATGCATCCAGCGGCTATGCAGACACAGCTTTAGCAAATTCTGACAATGCTGCTTACTTTTCATAGTAACATTCTATACATCTACCAGAAATGCAATCCAGAGTCTTCCCCGGGGTTAAGTAGTAGGACGCTGACACTCCAAACAGTTACTGTAGCCACAGTGGTCTATGGACCATAAAGTGAAGTCTGCCTTTTTCTAACCTGCCTCTAAAAGACTTTTTTAAAAACTATTTCAGTTTGTCTAATAAAAGATTTTCTTCAAATTAACTCCTCTAAAATCAGTTCTGATTTTTACCCCTTTTCTTTAAAAAACTGGTACGCTTTGCTCTCAAAGGTGTACAGTAAGTGCAAAGGAAGACACAGCCTACCCTACCTGAGAAGAGCTGGCAAGGTTTCCCACACTAAGTGAGATTATATTCGCAGTAATGTTAGTTTTTATTCTCTGTTACTATCCCACCACATATATATGAAATAATTTCAACCAAGTCATTCAGGTCCATATTTATTAGTAAGCCTGTACACTGTCAATACTCATGATGACGCCTGAAAGAAAGAACACTAATAGAACACAGCCTTCGTGTTTCAGATGCAAATTATTTCAAGATTTTCCCAGTTAACATCAATATCCCAGACTAGCTCACAAAAAGACCCAAAACATTGGGGACGGCAGTCCAACACGACAGAAGGAATCACTTGGTCGCCGAAGAGCGTACAGGGTCTATCAATCTGACGCAGAAAGACAAGTGTTTAATTAGAGTTCCCAGGAGACAGTCTCTCTTACAAGCCCAGTTTGGTCCTTCTCCAGTGTCTCCTTTTGGAGTTGTACCTAAGACAAAAGCAGTGTCAGTTAGCAAAGTGCACACACACATTTGAGGATCCAGGCGGACTGAAACCACCTTGAATTAGCTCAACAGTAAAGGACCAACATCTTTCTTGTGTGCTACAGTGGCAAGCTGCCAACAATAACCAGCTGTGTACTTACTTTTTAAAATTCCCACCTCTGTTTACTTTCTTCATTCACTAACCAACTAGCACTTTACTGCAACAGAATTTAAACCTCAAAGAGAGAGCCTGCAGAGAGATGCATCAGCACTGGCGTGTGAATATCCTACCTCCTCTTTCGGAGACAAGACCTGTGATCTTGTATTGATGGTCCAACGATAACAAAAACTACCTCTTACAGGTAGTTCATAGTCTAACACAAAAAGTTACCATTTTCATTCAAAGTATGAAAGCAGAGCAGCGTATGGAAAAGGTCCTCTTCCAGGACAGCATATTCATTTATGAGTATGTACTTGTACATGTTAAAAACAAATGGTTTCACCACTGTAGAGGTGAAACCAAAGACAGCGTTAACAGAGTTAATCTCAGCCTGCTTTAGCACATAGCTTGGATAAAACTGATGACCGAGGTACTGAAGCGCCACAAGACAAAAACTCATGATTTTGCCCCATGATGAAGTATTCCAAAGTATGGCAATATAGCTAAACCAGAACGCCGCTGTAAGTCGGTATCTGGAAGACAAGAGTAGTCTCGGGCACACAACACTGTTTTTTCCTAGAAAGAAACAAGCTAGGAGAAGTAACAGGAGCAGAACCTGGCCATTCTGTGCCATTTCGCTGCCTGAGGCAGCTGCTGCTACTGTCACTCTCCTCACTACTTAAGACAAAAAAAAACGATCTGGGAGAAAGAATCCTGTTCCCTTAAAAAGTCTAGACAAGGGAGTACGTGGCATAAAAAGCTAGCTGCACAGCGCAAGTGACCGAACTAGACTGGTTGAAGCTTTTAAACCAGAGGGCCCAGATATGCACCAGTTTCTGCATGCCTCACATTTACCTAGTATTCTACAGTACTCTCTTACTGCATTTTGCTAAATACAACGCTTGAAAACAAACACTATAGGCAAACAAAAAGGAACTGTTGCAAATGAATTCTGCAGTCATGCGCCAAGGATCTTACACTATCAATTTTATCTCCCATAGACCCAACAAGCCATTTGCTCCTTACGCACAATCTTCTGTGTCTCAGAACACCCATGCTCAGTAAGGTACTGTTCCTTGAAACGCAGGAACTCGGAGGGACAGCTATGAGAGAGGGCAAAGGTGTTGGGAAGGGGAATGTCGGAAGCACAGGGCTTACCAGGGTACAAATTCTAGAATAAATTATCCACACGCTTGCAGTTTCAACGTGCCATGACTGAGCACCTGTGGATACCTGCAGAGCACCGGAGCAATGTGAACTGCTACAGGAGGAAATGGCACGGAAGCCCCACACGGCCTCAGGAGAACACAGCGGGCTGACAGCGGAGTTGTGTGTCTGCACTAGCATACTTGTATGGTATTCACAGCCACAAAACTGCACTTTTGCTTGCATAAACGCTTTTACACAACCAGCTTCTGACTTCAGTCCGTACGACACAGGCAGCCCGGTGTACAGCCTCTGCGGCTGTAGGCTGCAGATCCTCAGAAAGCAACGGCCGATCTTATTACCTGATCTTATTGCCCGTTTTCATGCGAATCCATTGCGGGATAGGCCGGTTCTGCTTCTGCTTCTTCGCAAGGAAGCGTTTGATCTTGAACGTCTTGTGAGACGACTGGAAGAGAGAGCAGCCGTTAGTCCCGCACGGCAGCCCCGC